TAAAAAAGAAGTTAACTGCTTCTCTGCGAGAGAACATAATTCTCCAACAAGAGCTTCCAGGGTCTTACCGATAACACTCTCATTATAAATTTCTAATTTCACATTTTTACAATTCTACATCCAGGGTGAGGTGATTATCATCTTTTTTATTTTTATCCCTATAGAGTTTAGAAGCAGAGGTGATTATCATCTTTTTTATTTTTATCCCTATAAAGTTTAGAAGCAGAGAAGCAAAATTATATTTTTCAGGGTCTTGTTGCATTCTCTCTACATTGAAAATGGAAAGATAAGATGTATTACGCTTAAAATTTTACTTAAAACTTAAAATTTTACTTAAAACCAAATAACATAAATAATAATAATAACCTTCTAGAGTTGAACAAAAAACCTGTTTGGAGAGGAGTGCCAACATCTTCTACATCAATAACTGCAACAAAAAAAACATGGGAACTAAAGCAAAAATAACAAAAATTGGTATTACCAATATGTTGTTTGGGAGCATTTGGTTCATGAATTCTTTATGGAATAGAATTTTAGGAATCCATTCCTTTGGTTTTTTGTCTTCCAAATGAATGGAATTCAATAAATTTCATGTTTAGTGATATTTGATAGGAGTGGGGGAAAGGTATTCAGTATTAGACTAAAACATCTTTATAAAAAAAATTATAAAAATTATGAATGAAAACGAAAAATCTATTTGCCTAAATGCCTTTCAGATTATGATTTCTATTTATTCAAATTTCTTTGATAATTTCATTTCTTTCATGATACAAGAACTTTTTACACACCAAAATCTCCCATCAATTTTCATATTATATTGATTTCCCCATTCCTAGAGGAGGACAAAAGCAATGCGTTTCATTTCTTCCTTTTTTATTTTAAAGACAAAAATATTCACTTAATAAAAATATAATTTTTTATCATGGATATAAAATATAAGTAACTATTAAAAAAATGATGTAATACTTATTATTCAATTTCGTGCTATTTTTTGTTGGTATCAGGGCTTCGGAAGAGAGGCATGTGCTATTTTATATTGGTGTCAGGGCTTCGGAAGAGAGGCATGTCAACAAAAAAATTTGAATTGATACCCATTTTGTTCATCAACAACTGATTGAAAAGAATAGTTTCCTTTACCCGGGTCATCTTTCCTGATCAAACTATCATTAAAGAAATTGGAATATGGTTTTAAATTTTAGGGTTTTCTTTGCAAGTTCATTTGTGATGCAAATGCAATTGTTATATCCTGTATTAACTAAATTTTCAAATAAGCTTCACCAATATTTTCTTCTTTTTGTAAATTTCATTTATATTTTTTACGGTCTCATGAGAGTCACGACTAATGAGGTTGAATGGGGCACATACACACAACTTAACTTATTAATCATAACATTTATTGAAAGAAAATCAAACATAAACACTAATATACATAATGAAAATATATATAGACATGCGAGTATTTTTTGAATTTAATCAGTATATTTTTAAGTTATAGTAACTATTTATTTTTGAAGTATTGATCTTGAGGATTCTTAGAAAAAAATGTTTATAAGATGTATTTTTTCTTAGTTTTTATCTTACCTTTTTCAGAATGAAAAGCCGCCTTTACATAACGTAGCTAAATATCGTCATAAAAAAACATCCCAACTATTGTTTAGCAAAAAAACACGAATATTATTATACAATGTCGTAGATTAATGGCATATTAGTTGGGATGTTTCTACAACATTGTATATATATAGCTTATTTTTATATTTCTTTATTAATAAATTGTGTTTGTTTTTTAGTATTTTATTCGTTGATATCTTTTGATTGCTTCATTTCCTTTACTCTCTCGATCTAACCAAATATGACAATGAAATATAATGATCCATTTCATTACTACATTACCTTGCTCTTAAAACCGTTTTTAAATAATTTTCTATATGAAGCTCATTAACTAAAAGAAAATTCTAGAAAAAACGGGAATTATTAACGTTTAACGATGCTCTTAACTAATCCACTTTCAAAATCAAATAGTTAACGGAGCTTTGTATCACCATGGCAGGATCTAAGGTTATGTTTGGCGTGTCACAGTTGGTTTAGTTTCAAGATGTTTTACGTTGTCATGTTTGATAAGTAAAAAAATAGCTTAAAATTAACTTTTTCAAAAAGCTATTTAGACTAATTTTTCAAATATTTTTTTTTTCAAAATTTCAAAATATTCGTTTAATTAATTATATACATATATTTTCTAAATGACTTTTTATGCTAATTTATATTTTTCAGTTAGTTTTAATAAACAACTATCTTTTATGCTGATATAACTTTTCATCTCTTTTTAATTTTTATGTCAATTCATTTTAATATTAATTAAACCATCCACATTTCCTTTGAACTTAATTCCTAACACTTTTGTTGTGAGATACGTTCAACAATACCTAACATGATTATATATATATATATATATATATATATATATATATATATATATATATATATATATATATATATATATATATATATATATATATATATAGGGTTAGGTTCATTTGAGACCACTTATATTTTGTGAGACCGTGAGATGCATTTTTTTATTTTTTTTAGTTAATTCATGTTCCGAAAATAATATTTAAAAAATGAATTTTTTGATTTTTCCATTTATTCTGCATTTTAAAATTATTTTTAGAATATGTACAGTGTAATATTCTATTTAGAATATTTCACGTATTTTTCAAAAAAAAAAAGATTTTTTTTTAGTTAATTCAAGTTCCGAAAATAATATTTAAAAAAAGAATTTTTAAATTTTTCCATTTATTTTGCATTTTAAAATTATTTTTTAGAATATGTCAGTGTAATATTCTATTTAGAATATTTCACGTATTTTTAAAAAAAAACGGAATTTTATTTATTTATTTTTTTTATATATTTTTATATTTTTTTTAGTTAATTCAAGTTCCGAAAATAATATTTAAAAAAAGAATTTTTGGATTTTTCCATTTATTTTGCATTTTAAAATTATTTTTAGATTTGGTCTCACGGTCTCACAAAATTAGAATGGTCTCAAATGAACCTAAACCTAAACCTATATATATATATATATATATATATATATTATATATATATATATATATATATATATATATACTGGTTTTTGGGACCGTTCAGATCAGTTGAATCATCGAACAGCTAAAACTGGTTTGATGTCTGTATAAATGTGAATTGAACTTGTATTTCACAATGAATAGAATCGGTACATATACAATGAGAGATCTGAATACAATGGATCAGTTACAACAAATGTGGAAGACTAAATCTATTGTTATCTAGAATTTTAAATATAAAAGACATGTGAATAATGTACATAAAAGAAAGATGGATTAGATCCGGGTTCCTGGATCCGAGTTCCGGGTTATGTAATGAAAGACTCCCGCAAGATGGACGATCGTGAGAGGAGACCAATCTTGGAGATAAGAGTATTAAATCTGTGACAAAGGAGAGGTTTGGTAAGTGCATCAGCTAGTTGATCATCGCCATTTATGTGAGTGACACGAATAGAACCGACTTGTACTTTTTCCCTGCCAAAATGAAAATCTAGTGCTAGATGCTTCATGCGGGAATGGAAAACTGGATTAGCTGAGTAGTGTGTGGCACTGAGATTGTCACAAAAAATGGTTGGTGTAGTAATGGATTTGTAACCAAGTTCAGATAATAAGGATATCAACCATTGTATTTCAGTAGTTGTGGATGCTAAAGCCCTGAATTCAGCTTCAGTGGAAGAACGGGCTAAAGTTGGTTGGTGTTTAGAGCTCCAAGCGATTGGATTAGAACCAAGGTACACGATGTAACCTGAAGTGCTACGGTACGTTTGTTTGTCACCTGCCCAATCAGCATCAGTGAAGGCATGGAGATGTAAGGGAGACTTGCGGTGTATAAGGAGACCATGATTCATTGTGCCATGTAGGTATCGCAGTAATCTTTTGAGAGCTGTCCAGTGTAAGTCTGTTAGGCGATGCATGAACTGTGATAGTTTGTTGACAGCAAAAGCAATGTCTGGTCTTGTAAGTGACAAATATTGAAGTGCTCCAACATGTGACCTGTAATCTGTAACATTTGAAATAGGTTTGCCATCATCAATAGTAAGAGGTAAAGAGCTTGACATCGGTGTGGTTGATGCCTTACAATCAGTCATATTGGCTTTGTGAAAAAGATCAAGGATGTATTTGGATTGAGAAAGAAAAAGTCCATGAGAATGATGTACAACTTCAATTCCTAGGAAGTAAGAAATAGTTCCTAAATCTTTGAGAGAAAAGCGTTTAGCAAGGGAAGCGATGAAAGATGAAACATGGGAGGAGTTTGGACCAGTGACTATAATGTAATCTACATAAAAATGTGAATTGAACTTATAAATGTGAATTGAACTTGTATTTCACAATGAATAGAATCGGTACATATACAAGGAGAGATCCGAATACAATGGATCAGTTACAACAAATGTGGAAGACTAAATCTATTCTTATCTAGAATTTTAAATATAAAAGACATGTGAATAATGTACATAAAAGAAAGATGGATTGGATCCGGGTTCCTGGATCCGAGTTCCGGGTTATGTATTGATAGTCTGGTCCGATTTTAACATTGATCATTATACACAAAAACATAAGTTTGAGTATCGACTCCACAAACAACATTACATACCACAAATAAAAGACAAAATTGCAAAAATAATCCTTGTGGTATGTATTTTTTTAAGGTTTTAGTCCAAACCATGATTTTTTTGGATTAGAGGTCATTTTGAGGTAGTTTCGTTATGTTTTTGGTCACTCGGTAAACTAAAATGACTATAATACCCTTATGATATTTTTTTATGTTTTTTCTATTTAATTTAAATGAAAAAAAAATAAAAATTAAATTGACCCCACATCCCTCCCCCCCTCTCTCTCTCTCTCTCTCTCTCTCTCTCTCTCTCTCTCTCTCTCTAGAAACATACACGATCCCCACCAATGGATAACAATGCAACATCATCGATGGATACGACATTCCCACCGGAAAAAGCTCGTAAGAAACAACAATTCTTTCACTTGCTTCTCAGGAGCAGCCATTAGCGTGAATGCTACATTAGCAAACACAAATATCTCCAACAAATTAATCAGTTAAGAAATTCCCCCATCAATCGATTCCCCCAAATCATTTCGAAGAATACCCTCTTCTCCATCTTTCTCAAAATTAGATTTACTATCGTCTTCTTTCCAAAGCAGCATGTCTAATTTGAGTTGTAGTCCATCAACCCCAGAAAATCTCGATTTCAATCCGTTTCTATCAAAACCCTTGAGTTTACCTTCGAGAAGCAAAAAATTTCTTAACGCGATTGAAGTGCAAGTCGCTGGAGGTGCTACCGGAGAAGATAGGGTTCATGCGGTTTGCTTGGAGGAGAACAGTTAGCTTTTCTGCGTGATTTACGATGGGTTTAATGGACGGGAAGCAGCCGATTTTTTAGCGGGTACGTTTTATGAAACGATTCGGTTTAACCTAAATTCATTAAACATCGATGACTCTAACGAATTTACAAATGGAATTGACGATTACCTTCTTGGAGATGGTGACATGGGGGTAATCCGCCGCTGACCTAAAAATCAAGTTCTTGAAAGCTTACAACGTGCGCTCAATCAAGCGGAAAATGATTTCTTGTATATGGTTGAACAAGAAATGGAGGATCAGCCCGATATAGTTTCAGTCGGATCTTGTGTTCTTGTTGGCCTTATTCATGGAAAGAATGTGTACATACTCAATTTAGGCGATAGTAGAGGTCACTCGTGGAGGTCACTGTGATATCCACAGGAGAAATCAAATACAAACGCAACATAGGTCACTGACGGAGGTTGCCGACAATGTCTGTTTCTCACTCCTATTTTCGAGATCGACAGGCGAGGTTATCAGTGAAGCTTTCACATGTTGGCGAGGTTATCGGCGGCAACTCTGGTGACAGTGAGTAACGAGGAAGACTGATGGGTTATTGTCTGGTGGAAGAGCATTTTCAATGGAAGGGAATCAACAAGAGGGTTAAATGCAATTAACTTAAAGGAGATAAATTGGTTAGGTGGGATCTAAGCATTTTTAACTGATTCGATATGGTCATTCATCATTTTTTGTTTATTAACATAATTAATGTTTTAGGGCTGCCAGGTGATTTGGTTGGGGAGAGAGAGAGAGAGAGAGAGAGAGAGAGAGAGAGAGAGAGAGAGAGAGAGAGAGAGAGAGAGAGAGAGAGAGAGAGAGAGAGAGAGAGAGAGAGAGAGATCTTTTTTTAATTATTAAAATAACTAATAAATTAAAAAATTGAAAGAAAAGAGAGATCTTTTTTTAATTATTAAAATAACTAATAAATTAAAAAATTGAAAGAAAAATGAAAAATAAATACCCCAGAGGTATTATAGTCATTTTAGTTTATCGGTGGACCAAAAATGCAACGAAATTATTTCAAAAGGATCATCAATCCAAAAAAATTGTGGTTTGAACTAAAACCTCAAAAAAACATACATACCACAAGACTTTTTTTGCAATTTTGTCCAAATAAAATCAAATCATCCACATAATCCAAAAACACCATCGTCATCAAAATCAATGGACATCTGTCTTTGACCAGCAAAACCCAATCAACACATCCGCCCTCTACTGCAACATAAATCCTAATTCATCTTTGGGTACATAGAAATGACCACTGCGTCAAAGCATCAGTCCGGCTTAACCCTCCATGGATCGGCCCCTTTCCCTTTCCCTTGCTTGTTGTTCCATGTGTGTCCACGTCAAACAGCCCATCTTCTAGCGCGCTCACCAAGTTCTCGAAGTGCGTGCGTGTCACTCTGACATATTTTTAGCAAATTTTCAACAAGATATTTGATGGTTGTTTTTTCACTTTATTATGAAAAACCACTAATAGATAGTATTAGAGAACCGGATAACACCAGGAGTCCTTCAAGGATAAAAATAAAAATATATAAAGCAAGATGAAATACTTTTTTGTGATTTCTGGTAATAATGAGAGGAGAAGCCTAAAGCATAAATGGGCCGCGGCCTTATTTTACAACTAACCAAAAAAAATCCAATGCAAGCAAAGAGCTAACCACCCCATACTTGCCTAGTTTTTAATTTAAAAATAACACCACCGAAAATATTGATAACCGAGAGGTGCTTAAATCAATAAACAATTACCTAGTAAAACCAACCAACTTCCATCTGAAATTATCAAAGTCATCTCGAGAGACATCCGCTGCTTCTAGAAAAGTATGGAACTCCTTTTCGGCATACTGATGAAGCCTTTCTAACCCAACCTCTGCTTCACCTACCAATGCCATCATGGGAGGGTAACATGGTCATTTTAGAGGGTGGGTCCGTTTATTAAGTTCAGTTCAAAAAGAAACATACTTTACCTTGTACATACTCAAAAAGCTGTCTTTTTGCTACTTCTAAATAATACCCGTAGACATAGGTGCATTTCAACACTCGCCTACATTCAACTACCTAACCATATATAATTATATTATATTATATTATATTTATATCATTTTAAATAAAATAAACATCACGTCGTCAGCCTATACCTGCAACCAAGCTTCTACAATGAACTTCAACATTGCCTCAGGTTGGCACACCTTCTTACTAAGTCTTGCAAGCTGAAATTTAATAGACATTACACTTCACTAGTATAGCTTTTAATAAGAAAAAAAAGGCCTTGCTTTTCTAATATCATATTACCAAAAAAGCATCATAATTTTTTTTAACTCACATCAATTGTTTGCACCTGCTGCAAATCCACAACTGCTTTTTGCCTCAACTGTCATAGTGGAAAATAATAATAATAATAATAAAGTATCATGTATCAGATACATAACGTGAATTACAATTATACCAATGTTCTTGCATACCGATTCTTGTGTAGCCTAACGTTTATAATAGTGAGTATATCGCTCTAAATCCATCTCTCTCCTACCTTCAGATTCATCATACTGCAAATGGACAAGATTAAGGATTGAAACATTCCAAGAATGAAAAACAGAGATGCATGTTTTATTGAAAAGAGTCAGAGGAGATTAATATGATTAGTTTTACTACTGCTATCTCTTGCTTTGCCGATTCATAACGTCTGCAAGTATATAAGCCACCAGTATGATCTGACCATTGACCAACGCAAAGCCTACATGTGTACATTTTTATCAACTTATCAGAATCATCAATCAATAAAAGTATAATATACACAAATGAATAAGATTCATCAATAACAAAAGGGCAGTGTTGACATTTACAATTTCATATTTTTAGACTCTTTCGTTATCCACTTAGACATAGTTTCATAGTCCACAGGGTGATGAGCTTCTCCTGTACACTACGACAACAGCAACAAAAAACTTTTATCATTCATAAAGTATAAACATAAACTAACCTTTTCTAAAGCTTACATAAAGATTCATAGTACTCACATTCCAACAAAATCTGTACAAGCAAGAGCAAGTTACATCATAGCCTCCACTTCCATGTTCAAACTCAATAGCATAATCACACCCGGGTGCAGGGCACCACTTTGTCTATCATGTTAATGAATAAAAATATAATCAAAATCTTGAATTTGAAACCATTGAGATAAATTGCATACCCTTCTATTGCCAACAGTGCAATATCCAAGAAGGTAACCATGATACTTATTCTTATCTTCATCTGAAGTCAACATGTTATCCATGTCCACACCAACAGCAGCAACACAAGATGGAGTGGGACATCTCAAAGTCAAACATCGAGGAGCATCATTAATAGATTTGCAAATGTAAGCTACCACAATCAATACAAAAACTAATTATAACATGAAATCTTTATTATCCAATTTATAAACATATCAAAATAAGGAAAATACAAACCTGTCCAGCATATGTTACAAAATTCATGACCACAAGCAGCGACAGTGATAGTATTATCAAGTGGATATGATTCAAAGCAGATCCCACAAAGCAGCTTCAAAAGATACATAAAGATAAGAAAGCAAGTATACAACATGAAAGCGAGAACATTAACTTATTTACCAGTTTACCCTAAATTACCTCTTCACCTTCTGCTGCCTTGGTATTGGTATATTCCAACACACCAACAGCCTTACAGACTTCATCTTCATTAAAAAACCACCCTTCATGAACACCGCTGAAATTCCTGCAGGGTCACATTCACATAGCAACTTATTGAATAGCAAATATACAAATTCTTGATAAAGAACAGGTTATTGTTTAACAGAAATTAAAAAGCAAGAACTTGAAGACTTTACATAAACGAGTAATTATTCACAGAATTCCAAAAACAAAAACATGAAGGCCTCACCCGTCAGTAGATCGCAAATGAATAGATGCAGAATCTCTTGAAATTGATAAAGCTGAAGACGTGGACGTATATCATCTTTCTTCAAGATGGTATAATGTATCTGAAATGTAAAAAAGAAAAATAAAATCTGATCAGGACAGATGGATCATAAACACTGATAGCAAATAAGCACCAACCAGCGACATCTTCGAGCCAACTTATAATCAAAGCGTTGGCTAACAAAACCACCTATAACTTAGAATAGTTAAAACAAAAGACGAGCAAACCCACAAACTTGATGTGAAATTTGCATCCTATTGGATGAATAAACGAGAGGAAACAAATATAAACAGCAACATCGGATTCACCTTTTGTTGGCTAACTAATACTTCGTCCGAATCATCAGAATCGAAATCAAAAAACTCACACCCAACTTCATCACCACCGCCGTACAACGCATCGCCGTTATTATGATCCTCTTCACAGATATCAACATCGCTCGCATCGTGCATATCATCTTCCGAAACCATCTTAAGAAACGACAAAAAAAGAAAAACCATGCAAACCTAGGGTTTAGGGGGTGTTTGGGTACCTTTTAAAAGACTAAACTGCAATTTTGGTCCATGGTTAGCAAAAAAGTGTGGATGAAGTCCAAAAAGTTTACAACTTGTACCACTGATCCAAAAACATAAACTTTTTGTGGATTTGGTCCTTGAACAACTTGAAACGACTCTTTTATCCTTTTCATTTGTATTTTCAATTTTCTTTATTAATTTAAATATTTAGAAATAAAATAAAATAAAATCCTACTCCACTCACCCAATCATTCCACCGGTATTCCCCCTCTCTACTAGCTCTCTCTCTCTCTCTCTCTCTCTCTCTCTCTCACACACACACACACACACTTACACTCACACACCAATAACTCAATCCTTCATCTTCTTTCATAATCAAACCCACCCACCAAATTCTTTCTAGTCTGCTCAAAACTCTTGCTATTTCCTATCATCTCCAAATTTAAAAGATGATGGCAATGATTTCGAAGAAGACCCATATCCAAATATTTCTCCCAAAGCAAACGAGTTAGACTCGTTTGCCTAAAATTCCCCAATTGCATGGATTATTTAGTGGATGATATAGGATAGTGAGATAATGATCCAGTGTTGCTCAATAGGAGAAGAAGGGAGACTGAAAGAAAGTCAAAGAGAAAGAATGAGTTGTCTCTAATCTACTAGCCTGCGTCCAATTATCATTCCTCTTAATTTCAATCCATATCTATCTCTTAGAGGGTCATTGTACCTCTCGATTTTTTCTGATTCTCAAGAACCTAAGCTTTCACACAAGACATAGTTGTGAAATCGATATTAAAACCAAGGAAGAAGTAAGAAAATCAAACCTAATTGTATGTTTGTTTATTATTTTGATATGTTTTATGTGAAAATGGGGAGATTTCTAGAAGAGCTGAGAAATTATTCTCACTGCCATTGAGAATGTTTTTAAGAATAAAAGCAAGAGTAGTAGCAAATGATGCAGATCTAAAACCCCCCCGCCTCCCTTATCTGGTGTATGCATATGTATAACCCTCCATCTTCATTTATTATTAATCCGGAACTGCTACTACAACGTGGCAATTTCATCTAGTTAAAAGTATTTATGGGTGGATCGAGGTGAGAAGACAAAAAAAGGTTATTAGAGGGAGAGCATGTGTGAGAGTTTGTGTGTGGGTAAGTGTTTACATGAAGAAAAGAATAGATCAAATAAATGTTGTAGGTTCTTGATTTTTTTTTTGTTTATCGATGATGGAAGCTGTGGGTCGGTGTTGGTGGTGGAGGATCTGGTATTACTACTGTAATAGTGGTTTGAGATTGAAGGAAAAATATGGTGGAAGATTAGAGAGAGAGAGAGAGAGAAAGAAGGGTAACGGTTGGTGGGGGACGGAATGAGTTATTTTCTTTTTACTTTTTTTATATTAAAATAAATATTAAAAATACGAAAAAGAAATTAAAAGGGCAAAATAGTCTTTTCAACTCTTTTAGGGACCAAAACCACAAGAATTATTTTATGTTGGACCATTGGTGCAAGTTGAAAACTTTTTGGACTCCATCCATACTTTTTCGCTAACCACAGGGACCAATTTTGCAGTTTAGTCATTTTAAAACAATTTTTTGGAGTTAAAAAAAAAGTTGAAAAGTCCAAAAATAAAAAAGTTTGTTTTTAATCAATTTTTAGCTATGACCAAAAAGAAATCCTTTTTAAAGTCATACAATCCTATTTTTTTGTAATTTTTTATTTTTATCTCTTAAAAATTTTTAAAATCCACCCAAACACATTTTAAATACTTACTTTTAAAAAAAATCTTTAGAAAAAATCAATTTTACAAAAAGACTTTTAACTTAAAAAAGCAATCTCAAACACACCCTTAGAGGCTAGACGGTGGGCGTATTTTGGGGAAACTAAATCTGAGTTGTGGGATTTCTTTTTCTTCGCATTTGGAGGGTTTTTTTTATCTTTTCAATAAAGCCACTCAAGTTTTTAATTTTTTTTATCCCTCCAAACATTCTTGGTTTTATTTTTCACAATTTAGCCCGAAATACAGATTTTTATGTTACAATTTTACGAGTTAGTATATTCGATTGATGTGGAAGAATACATAACAACAAATGTAATTAAAAGATTAAATATACTAATCACTGTTTTTTTATATTTTTATATTTGACAGCAAAAATTTTCATATTATGAAACCTTTTTGAGAAAAAAAATCAAAAGAAATAAAACTCATTTTTTGTATTTTTATTTTTACATCTATCAAAATTCTTCTAAGGAGAGAAGAAGGGTATGTCGTAATTCTTCTAGGATTTTGGTGGTGCTCGTCTCGAAGTTTTAACCATTGTTTATAGGTTTTTAAGATGAAATAAATATTCAATCAAATGAGTATCCGATTAAATCAATATTCGAATCTTTTACAATTATCTTCTATAGTTACCCATTAGTTATCCTTTGATAATTAATATATCTCTTTTAGCATAATGTAACACTCGTAATCATTGCATTAAGTTCAATGTGGAAGTCTCACCTGGCTCATGACGTGAGTTATGCTTGCGATGTCGTGAGGGGTATGTTTAAAAACGCACATCATCTTTGGGCTCACAACGTGAGCATATATGGCTCACAACGTGAAGACGATATGAGAGGAAAACCCTAATTTTGAGGCTTGTGTTCGTATTTAAAGGGAAGTAAGGGTTAGGGTTAGCTCACTCTCAGCCTCCATCCCCTTTCAACGCTTCGTTTTTTAGCCTTAACACTCCATAGTTGATTTTTGAACTCATTTGTGGTAATTTCTACCAAAAGAGAAGAAGAAGAAGAAGAAGAAGAAGAGCATTTAGCCATCACCTCAACACTCAAGCCTTTCCATCATTCATTTTCACTCCTTCTAGTTCTTAGTGAGTTTTCAAGATCTTACATTTATAGGTTTATAAGCTTAGATATAGGTTTTATGAACTTTCCTTCTTGGATTTGATGATATAGTGGTTGGAATCCATAAAGTTGCCAACTTTATGGATCTCCAACATCCCTTTGATCAAATAGGTGCTAGATTTGAAGTATGGATGAGTTTTGTTGTAACGCCCGTAGATTATGGCTAGTCAATTTAAGGACAATAAGCATCAAAAATGACTTTTTGATGGAAGATTATTTTGAAGGAATAATCTTAACTAAGTTGTAGTATATGTTACAAGGATTTCATACATATAAAGAACGCTGAAATCCGAGTTATAACAAAGAAGTTATGACCTGTCGAAGTTTCGCTACAGAACCGATACGATGCTGAATGACGTAAATAGTGAATTTACGTTAGAGAGATATTTAGCCTTAGCGATCTAAACGAAATTCGTAGAGTTCGTTAAACCGTGAGCATGCATAAAAAGAACGCCAAATTCTGACTTCGTATGTAGAAGTTATTATTTTTCGAAGTTTTAGCTTAGCAGTATGTAGCCTGAATACTCGATTTTAGATCGAGCGGTTTTTAGCCGAAACAATCTAAACGAGAATCAAATATCTCGTCGATAGTAGTCAAACGGTAAAAAGACAGACGAAAACGGACGTCGGATGAAGAAGTTATGAATTTATAACAAAATTTTCTTATCCCGGCCTACTAAAAATAAATAATAAAAATAAATTCAAAATTAGCCAACGGAGTCTAAATGAAAGTTATAGAGCATAGTCTCACCTACGCGTGGATATAAAGAACATTGAAAACAGAGTTCGTATGATGAATATATGAATTTTTGAAGTTTATTAGATAATTAAAATATTAAATTTAATTATAAATTTCGATATTATCCGAAGAGGGGGAGGGGGGAGTCAGCGACCTTATCCAGGTTACGTCTAGCGTAACTGGGGAACTACGCCCAACGTAGCGAGTGATTCAGCCCCTATAAAAGGGATGCGAGGGCAGCCGATTCCTTTGCTCATTTTCTCTTCTCTCTCCCGTTTTGCCTCAATTTTTGTGCAAGAAATACCCCGAAGCCCCGATATCATTCCCAAGCCCCAAATCAAGTCCCGAAGCCCCGAAGATCCCGAGAAGTGAAATTCCCGAGCCGAAGCTTTGCCCGCAAGAAGCCCGGTTTTTGTGAAGATCTCCCGGTTTCACCGAAAAATACTACTTCTACAAGCTGTAGCGCTACCCGATCATCGTCTAATCAAGTGAGTGTGTAGTTACTTTCTTCTAACACATAAATATTAAGTATTTGCTATGAAATACGTGTTATGTGTTTATATATTGTTTTTTTATATGTGTGAGTGTATAGTCTCTTTCTTAAACACGATATTAATACACGTATTGTTTGAATGTATTAAGTATATGTTTTGGGTGAGTGTATATTACTTTCTTCTAACACATAAATATAAGGGTTCAGGAGCAAGAGGGTTCCGGACCAAGAGGGTTCAGGAGCAAGAGGGTTCTGAACCAAGAGGGTTCAGGAGCAAGAGGGTTCCGGACTAAGAGGGTTTCGGACCAAGAGGGTTCAGGAGAGAGAGGGTTCCGGACCAAAAGGGTCCTTTCGGGTTTTCAACTCCGGTTTTGAGTTGTTTTTGACTGAGGAAGGTACTTAGGGAGATTTGAGATACGTGGAGAGATTTGGGAGAGATTTCACATACTTGGAGAGATTTGGAAGAGAATTCACATACTTGGAGAGATTTGGGAGAGATTTCTCATACTTGGAGAGATTTGGGGGGAAATTCACTATACTTGAAGATATTTCTCATACTTACACTTCATGGCTCCATAGGAACTCATATTATACACTTAGGCATGCTAGCACAAGTCTCACAATAGTCCTTGCTTACTTGAGGATAGAATTTCCTTTGTCAAAAAGGCTAGTTGTGACATCATCCCCCCGTTAGAGGGAATTTCGTCCCGAAATTCTTTCGAAAGATAGGGTCATGAAAGCGGAAATTGGTGAGAGTAATTTTGAGTTATTTGGTCTTTGTGTTCCCAGGTGAACACTGGCTCACGTATAGTGTTCCCTTGAACCTTCATCATCGAGATGTGGCTTTGTTTTGTGTGCTTAACCTTTCTATCAATTGTTTC